GCTGACGCTGCTGCGGCTGCTGCTGCTGCTGCTGCTGCTGCTGTCCCTGGCCACCACCGGCCTCACCCAAGCCCCCACCACCGCCGCCACCACCACTCCCCCCTCCGCCACCACCGCCGCCGCCACTGCCACTGCTCCCGGCACCACCACCGCCCCCACCACTACCTCCACCCCCACGACCACCGCCACTACCTCCACCGCCCCCGCCGCCTCCACCACCGCCCCCCCCACCGCCACGTCTGCCACCCCTGCCACCCTTGCCTCCCCTGAAGCTACTGCGCTTCCCACTCGGAGCGGAAGCAGCCGCGACCTTCTCAGCACCAAGGAGGTCGACAGCAGCAGCTGCGGAGGCGTAGGAGGGGGTAAGAGGGGAGGGGGAGCACCCCTCAAAGAGGGGAGTGCGGGGAGTACCACGAGCAGCACCTACAGCTAGAATGTTCTTCTCGGCTTCTAGGAGGTGCTTCTCGAGGTCGTCGACAGTGAGAGAATGAGGGTCAAGGGCGAGGAAGTGGTCCCTGACTGAGCGAAGAGTGTCAGGGAGGCGGGTGATGAGGAAGTAGAGAGTAAAGTACATCGGGGGTCGGTTCTCTGCGAGGAACTCGGCTTGAAGGGCGGCACGAAGGCGAGTGTCACTAGCGCGTAGGTGAGAGATGAGGTCCTCAGCGGTGGTAAACGAGGACAGGTCGGGGAACAGGTAGGGTAGCATAAGTCGACCGAGGGCTGCAGTGGCCGGGGAAGAGTAGCGGGCAACTACAGCGTCGTACAGTGCCTTGGCAGTCTTGTGCTGGCTAAAATGCGCGCGCTCTGTGATCGGCAGATGGTTGCGAATAGCGAGGCGCGCAGCAGCATCGCGGGTCTGCCACTGGGAGCGGTCTAGAGCAGGCTCAGTGTCAGCAGGAGCAACGGCAATGCCAGACACATAATCGAACAGTGAAACCCCGTCCTTAGCATCAGTCAGAAGAAACAGTTGCAGGTCGTCAAGCCAGGTGGTAAACTCTACTGGGCGACCGTCAGGATCGAACGCGAGCACGTTGAGAGTCGCCATGCTTGCAGCGTAGGCAAGACTAGCGCGCATGCGGCAAGGCAAAAGGCAAGCAAGGAGAGGTTGCGTGCAAGGCTGCAGTGGCTGCGCACGGACTCCTAAGGCAACACGGAGGGCAGCAGTGGACCACGCGTGGGCCCCTAAAGCGGCGCGCAGTGCAGCAGCGGGCCGCACGCGGGCTCCTAAGGCGGCGCACGGTGCAGCAGTAGGTCGCGCGCTGGCTCCTAAGGCGGCGCGCGGAGCAGCTGCGGGCTACGCGGGCGGCTGACGCGGCGCGCGGGGCCGAAAATGGGCTGCGCGGGCGGCAGACGCGGCGCGGGCGGGCAGCAGGCTGCGCGGGCGGCTAACGTGGCGCGCGGGCCGAAAACGGGCTGCGCGCGGGCTGCTTAAGCGGCGCGCGCGGGAAAAAAAAGGGGCCGCGCGCGCGGGCAGCGCAGCGCAGGCCAGGCAGGCAAGGCAGGTGGGGCAGCTCAGGAACCGCAGCGGTAGGTGGGCCCTAAGAGAAACGGTCCTACGGACCTACTGCTCTTGAAACCATGTTGAGAAAATTAGGTAGGAGTGTTTGACTATTGAGAAGATTGGGTACAAGTGCAAACCCTAGCAATGTGTTGTACCCCATATGTGCTGCCCCACTACAGCCTACACCCTAACATTATATATACAGTTTGACATTGTAGACAGTTATGCACGACGTGCATTGTCGAGCACATTGCGCAGGTTGTCAGCCACATGATGAGCCACGTCAACCACGTGCTGCCACGTCGGTCGACTTCGCCACTTGTACATGTGTACGAGACATCTGTGTTGCACTCGCGGATGCTTCAGTTACTCTTGCATGGATTCCCTAGTACACCTCGTGTACAGGCAACCCTTGTACACATGTAGAAGGTTGGCTGCACCTCCAGCACACCCGACCACGAAGTCAGGTTTGCCCATGTGAGGGCGGGGCCAACTTCCTTCAACAGCGCTGCAGGCCCAGTAGGTTCTTTGCCATTGGTTGCGGGGGTATTGAGCAAGTTTACTTGCAATGTTGGAGACATCGGGCATGCATGTGACTGAGGTGAACAGCAGGCAACCCAGTTGTTGCTGGTAAAGTTGAAGTCCTTCGGGAGAGAGGGGTTGTTGTCGAGTTTGTGGTTTGGTTCGGGCATGCAGTAGGGGGTTGAGAGTGGTGCATGTGGGACCTTGAAGCGCTCGATAAGTGTTTCGGCATATTTCGAAGCTGTGATATGGATAGCTTCGGGAGCGTAGGAGATGTTGAGCCCTAAGAACTGCGTCACATTAAGGTTGGTGGTGATGTCGACGCGACTTCCCAGGTTCTTCTCAAAATGATCGAGGAGGGTGTTGCTCGTTCGGAATACAGTAGGTCATCGATGTAAACGATGAGCAGAAAACAGTTACTGCAGAAGTGCAGGCGGTACATTCCAGGGTCATGAGGCCCTTGAGTGAAGCCGATCTCAAGCTGCACGTCTGTTGCCACAATCGGGGCGCTTGCTTGATGCTGTACAGAGGTTTCTTCGGCTAATACACTCTGGAATCCCCTTCGCTGTAAGTATGCGACTGCTCCACGTAGATTACAACGTCAACTAATGCGTACAAGGACGCAATCTTCATAATGTTATGTCGGAATGGAAGGTGTTTGGTAGCAGCCAAATCGAGTAAAATATACATGGATATATGATCGATCAAAATCAATATCGTAACATTGGTCGTAGATGCGTACGACCCAACATGCCTTGAAGCGCTCGATTGAGCCGTCTGCGACGATTTTTCACGTGGAAGACCCACTGTCCTAGTAATGTTGTGCTCCCCGTTGTTGCTCCTACTTTCTGGCTGTGCGGAACCTAGCGATGGTGAGTCTCTTGTAGAGCATAATGCCACGCGCGGTTGCAATCCCCTTGCTCTCCAGGTCGCAGATGATCCAGCCTCTGTATTTGTGGTTGGTACTGGAGTAAATTCCCCATCGCACGTGGCTGGTAAACTTTCCAGTGGTGGTGGTTGCAAGCTTGTACTTCACATATTTCCAGTGTATATCAGCTGAAGAAATTCATGCACAGCATCAATCAAGCGCCCCAATTGTGGCATCAGCACTTGCATAAAAGTCTGCTCGAGATCGGCTTTACTCAAGTGCCTCATGACCCTAGAATGTACCGCCTGTACTTTTACGGGAGCGCGTCGGGGTGTAGGGTGTGTTAGTGAAACAAATAGTGCTTGATGCCATGAAGGGATTTCTTTAGTTGACACAATGCAGGTAGAAATTGACTAGGATTGACGAAATGTTGTAAGTAAATTCCCCAACTTCTTCGGTCCATTTGACGTGGGGACACATTTTTTGTAATCGCTGTGGTAGAGAGGAGGTTGTGAAGTCGCACGACGTGATGCATGGCATACGACCAGTAGACGGAGGGAAGACCTGACTGCTTCAGTAGTGCATGGACCTTCATCAGGAGTGTGTGATTGGTTCACTCGGCAATGCCTTGCTGCGGGAGCTTGTCGGGAAGAGAGATGCGGTGCAGGATCTCATTTTCGCCAAAGAAGTTCTGGAGCTCCTTGCTGCGGAATTTGGTTGGCCTTCCGTTTGCCAGGTTTGAAGTTTCTTATTCGATTGTCGTGCGTGTGCGCCAGCCAGGGACGGAAAATATCGTAGGCCCTGCTTCAGTACTGGACGTTCACTATCGAAACGTAGCCCGTACGCGTGTTTAGAAATATCAAAGTGTAGCTCTTGTCCTTGAGCTCACTGAGGCCGGTGACGAAGAAGTCGCAGTACACCTTGTGCAGATTCGAGTACCGATTGGTGCTTGGGTCGAGCAGGGGGAAAGGCTGGTGAGAGAGCGCAGCTATGGGGCCATCGGCGCAGGTGTGAGGTTGTGTGGTGTTTCTGAGGTCGGTTCTGTCACGGCGCAAGATTGCTCCTTGTGCGAATGCTTCAACGATGATGCAGTTTTGAGCGTTTTACACGAGGGGTGCTCGAGGGGTTGATGCCAGAATTCGTTGGTTATGCGCACACCAGAAGCGCGGAGACCCCATACGCACATATAAGACCCATGACTTAGGGTCATGTATATGGGGGTCTGCTTGTTATTTGCATTCTTATATGAGAGGATTATCCATATGGCGTCGACTATGCTACGGGGATGAAACACTGGGTGCACATCCTCCCATCAGATCTCGACCAGCCAGACCCCGCCGAACCAGCCCACTTGCTTGTACTGAGAATCGGGTGAGGGGCGGGGCCACGTCAAGCGGTCAGTCGGTTTCCATAATCAGTGGTCAGGGAGCTTGGCTGGAGCTGCCTTTCATGTGCGGTTCTACGCGCCCACTGCGTGCGGAGAGGACTGAGCTGTCGGGAGTGTGCCACGAGAGGAGCAACAGCTGCGGTGCACGCGAAGAGAACACTGAACTACCCATTCGAGTCTCGTTCCCGCACAGGTCCAGCCAAGTTCACTGCTCACATTTAACGAGAATAAGTAAGCAGAGATGGGACACCAAGCAACCAGAATAACGCGTGGTTGGGTGGGAAATTCCACCTATGTACATTCCCTTCTTGCCGTTGGAAACCGTTGGAAACCATTGAGAAACGGAGCATATCCGTGAGAATGACCACTGAAAAGGGCATGAGGTGTATATAGTGGAACAAAAAACGCAGCAGAAATGGAGTGGAATGCTCCTGTGTGGCTTGCATTGCACTCGTCCAAGGAACTTATCATCACACTCGTCCCTCACACGGAACGTGTTCAGTCTGGTCGTTTCGCACTACTGTTGCACATTCGGTCCAGGAAAACCCCAGACGGTTCCTCCTTGACTTGCTCTCCTGGATAATGGCATGCGTGAGTGATAACTTAGTAGTCAGTGCTTCTGAGCGTTTGCAATTGCATGGCAACCGACTAGCGGTCCGTTAAGTAGAAAAGACGCTTGTATTTATATTTTCACCGTGGTTGGGGGGAGTGCGACGGCGTGCATGGCGGCGTCGGATGGCTTGTACCAAGAGCAGGCGGGCGACAGCAATGGCACGCAACTCCCCGAAGCTGCCTGCGGCTGTCTGCCCAGGGGCGCCGACCGTGGCGCCGGGTATGCGCGCATGGACGCGCGGAGCCTCGCGTCGGCCGATGGAGCGCATTCGCCGTGTGTTGGCACAGCGCAGCACGGCAGCGTGGCCAGCGGGCTGCACCAATGCGACGCGGGGCTGAGGGATGGCGAGCGCAGCGCGTCATGTAACGGGATAAGCAGCGCGCGTCAGGCAGGGTCGGAGGGAAATGATGTGCGAAACGGGTCGTGGCGGAAGCGCATTGCGCGCATGGTGCACGGAAGCAGTGAGCAGAACGGCGTCGCAGCAGATAGTAAGGGTGGCACGGACGTAAGCGCGGGTGACGACCAACGCACGTGGGGGTCGGAGGAGAGGTCGTGGGATGTGGAGGCAGGTCGGGGTGCGGGCAGCGGTGACGGAGCGAGCGCCGAGGCACAGCCGCGCAGCAGCGCCTTTCCTTACGACTGGTTCGTTGCAAAGCGGCCTCACAACCGCCAGCCGCTGCAGCCCGACGAGCGAACCTGGCGAGGGATCAATGCACGCCCCGCCACGCCTGCGTCCTCCGCGTCGTCCGCGTCCGCCAGTTCCCCCGCCTGGCCCTCCGCCCGCCCGTCCGCGACCCCCGCGTCGCCGCCGTGCCAGCAGCCGGACGAGATGATTACGTCAGCGTCGTACGAGGTAGTGGCGGATGATATGGAGGAGGAGGAGGAGGAGGAGGAGGAGGAGGAGGAGGAGGAGGAGGAGGAGGAGGAGGAGGAGGAGGAGGAGGAGGAGGAGGAGGAGGAGGAGGAGGAGGAGGAGCGCATGAGCGACGCGGGGTGCACGGACGACGGACTCGACGCTACCACCGACTGCCACGACCAACTCTGGTGCTGCTGGCCCCTCCTCCCCGCCTCCCCCACTCGCCCCGCTCCCCTTCCCCCCGCCGACTCGCGCGCCTCCGACTCATCCGCGGGGAACACGGAGGGCGAGGATGCGAAGCGGAGCACGCGGGGAGCGGGCGAGGCGGGGAAGGGAGAGGCGAGGCGCGGGGCGGTGGCGTGGGCGCGCAGCGTGGACTGGGGGTCGCGGCGCTGCCAGCTGTCCATCTTCGCCGCCGTGATGCTGGCGGGGCTGGCGGCGGCCGCCGTAGTGTTCTGGGCGACGTTCAGGAGCTACCAGCACAGCAGCATGGTGCCCCGCCCGCGCGCCCTCGCAACACCTATTGCCGCCTGCACTAGACGTTAGTTAGGCACTAGGCACGAGGCACTAGACAGGAGGTGCGCGAGCATGCAGGGGAAGTGAGGGTTGCAGTGCTGCAATGCGTCCTCACGCCGCTCGATTGCGTCTCCTCTTCGCCCTCCGCGCGTCCTCTCTCCCCCTCCCCCCTCCCCCCCGCGCTGTGCGCGTGGCAGGACGTGCTGACGACGTTGTGCGACACGTGGGCGGCGCTGCTCAACGAGCGACTGCAAGACTCTGCCAAACAGGTGCGCGCCCCGCCGCCCGCGCACCTGCGCGCACAGCATGCGTGCTGCGTTGCCCCTGGGCAGTACTAACTGTGCGTGGTGCCCCCGTGTCCTACAGGCCCGCGTGCTGTCAGCGCTGCTCTCCATCCTCTACTTCCGCTCCACCCCACCCGTGCTCAACCAGGTGCGCCTCTCCTCGCCGCCCCCTCCCCCTCTCCCTCATATGCCCATGCTGCCCTGCCTTCACTTGGCCGCTCTCCGCTCCTCCCCATTGCCTGCACCTCTCTCTCCCCAAGCCCACTCATGCATTTTCTCTACCCCCCCACACCGCCACCCCCCCCCTGGGCATGGCGGGCATGGCAGAGCATGTTTGCGGACATCATGAGCGAGTCACAGCTGTCCGTGCATCTCTTCCACAACGTCGCCTTCGCCCTGCGTGTCTCGCCCGCCCTGCGCCCCGCCTGGGAGGCCCTCAACAACGCCACGGCACCCTGCATCATGTCAGCTCGCCTCACTGCCCTCATGCGCCCATGCACGCACGCATGCATGCGTAATGTTGCACGCTCTACATCCCGTTACTTGTGCTGCCTCTGCCTCTACTTTCACTGCTGCTGCAGTCTTGGTACCCTCTCACCGTGCTGTTTCGCCATGTCAACCCATGCCGTGCCATGCCATGTCATGCCATGTCATGCCACCAACATCTCTACCCTTCACTCACGCCGTATCCCTCCCTCCCCCACCCGCAACCCCTCCACCGGCCTGTGCGGCTGTGCATGGGTGCAGGGACGAGGGCAGGGGGTGCACGGAGGAGCGCATGGAGTATGCGCCCATAGTGTTTGAGGAGCTCGCCCATGCGCCACACCGCGGCCTCGACCTCTACCAATGTGAATCACCCCCTGCACCGCCCCCCTTCCCCCCTTGCTCTGCTACCCACCATTTCCTGCCGCACACTTCTTTTCTCTGCCCACCGCGTTCATGCGTCGCCTACCTAATCCCCCCCCCCCCCCCCCCCACCCCCCACCTGCCCCCACAACCCATGACGCGCAGTGGACCAGCTGAACGCCACGGTGTGGCGGGCGCGGCAGCAGCTACGAGCAGTGGTGTCGCCCATCCTGGCCGCCATGCACGCGCCCACCGCCGTGCACTTCTCCCCCGCCGCCTCCTCCGACGCACACGTGTTCAAAGTGCTGCCTGTGTTCCGCTCCGCGCGCGCCTACCCGCCTGCTGTTCCCGCTGGGCATGACGGCGACGAGGGCGTGGCGAGTGAGGGGCTGGGCGCGGGTGTGGGGGAGGGCGAGCTGGGGGGATTCATGGTGGCGGAGATGGACGTGGATGGGCTGTGGAAGGACATCAGCAAGGTAAGGGGGCGCACAGGGCAAAGGGCTAGGGGATAGGGGCAACCGGTAGCTCCATGCCTTGACTACGTGCGCACGTTCTGCCTGCCTTTCCCCGTGTGCTCCGTTGTATGTGCTCTGCGTGTGGTTGCCCCTGGATGTGCACGGGTGTGCGTGGGTGTGCATGGGTGTGCATGCATGGGATGGGAGCAGGCGACATCACCAGCGGCGGACATGGTGTTGCAGATAGTGGACGTGACGGATGGCAGTGCACCGCAGCTGGTGCTAGACGCCTCGCGCCACGTGTACAACCCCGCAGACCGGGTGGCAGAGGGGCCCTTTGCTCGTGTCAACAGCATTGACTTCGGCGACCAGTTCCGGCAGTACGAGCTCCGATGCAGGTCCGCTCATCATCCCACCACTCCCTCGCTCCCTCGCCCCACATTCTTCCCTCGTTTTAGTTTCTCCCTCACCCGCTCCCTCTCTGTCTCCCTCATGCGTCATTCTAGTCGGCCAACCACGGCCATGCTGTTGCCAACATGCTATTCCCCTTCCCCCCCACACCCCCACCATCAGGTACGCGAGTGTGCCAGTGCCGGTGCTGCCGGTGGTGTGGATGGTGCTGGTGGTGGTGGTGGTGGCGGGGGCGGCGTACCTGCTGTGTGTGGCGCAGAGGCATCTGAGTGTGGCGAGGCGCAACCTGAGGCGCATGGGGCTGCTCAAGGACCGCATGAAGCGCGCCAAGGTGCTGGCGGAGATGGGCAACCGCGCCAAGGGCACCTTCCTCGCCACCATGAGTCACGAGCTGCGCACTCCCCTCAATGGCGTCATCGGTGCGTGCCGCTGCATGCAGCCCCCACACTCCACTCGCCTCGCTCCGGCCCCTCTGCTCTCTGCACCTCTCCTTTGCCCGCGATTTTCGGTTCCTTGTGCACCGCTCGTTAGCAGAATCAAGCAGCACGTGCCAACCACGTCACATGCGCCCACGCCTAAACATGTTCCCCTCCCCCCTCTCTTGAGCGCGCTGCACGTGGTGCGTGCATGGGTGGCAGGCATGATGAATCTGTTGCTGGAGACGCCATTGAGTGCGGTGCAGCTGGACTACGTGGACACGGCGCGCACGAGTGGCAGGGCGCTCGTGGACCTCATCAACGACATCCTGGACCTCTCCAAGATCGAGGTCACCCACCTCTACATGCCATGCCATGCCATGCCATGCCATGCCATGCACGGCTTGCCGTCCCCCACCATCCAGTTTTTCTCTGCCTCTCCCACTTGCTCGCTCCCTTCCTCTCACTACTTGTTTCCATTTCTCCCCCCCCCCTCTCCCCCCTCCCACGCCTCTTTCCCTTGTGCTGCGGTCCGCCTCTGCCTGCCTGCGCGCGCTGTGCTGTGGGCGACGGGCATGCAGGCGAAGCGCATGGTGTTGGAGAGTGCGGCGATGGACGTGCGCAGCGACGTGGTGGACGACGTGCTGAGCATGTTCGTGGACCGCATCCGCGCCAACCCCCACGTCGAGGTCGCTGCCTACGTTGATCCCGCCGTGCCCTCCCTCATCTTTGGAGACTCACTGCGCCTGCGCCAGGTGGGTCCAGAGGGGGAGAGAACGGGGGGCATGCAAGGGACGGCGAATAGGGTGTGAGGTGGGAATGCAGTGACAGTGCTTGAAGCTAGGTGCTCCATGCCCTATTATTGCACAGACAAGCTTCCAGCCTTCTCATTCTCCCTGCCCCATGCCTCCTGCCTCATTGCTCCTCGCTCCATGCATCCCTCGTGTGTCCTCTCCTCTCTCTCCCCCATTGCTGCGCGCCACGGTGCATGGCAGGTGCTGATGAATCTGCTGTCCAACAGCTGCAAGTACACGGCGCGAGGCCACATCTTCATCTGTGTGCGTGCCGTGCGCTCAGACGAGGACCTGCGCCGCGTGCTGCTGCTGCACTCGCGCACCACCACCACCGCCCACGCCCTGCCACACCGCGGTGGCACAGGCCCAGGCCCCCATGACTCGTCGGCGTGGCGTGTGGTGTCGCCGTCCGCCCTCATGCGCCCCGCGCTCTCAGGCCCCGGTGCCGGCCCCGGCCGCCTGCAGCGCGCTTACCTGGGGTCAGGGACGCTGGGGGGCGATAGGGTGCTGCGCGAGGGCGGAGAGGGGGAGGAGGGCGTGGAGGGCGGTGGCTGGTCCAGCAGCAGGGATGATGACAGTGCTTCCATGTGCGGGGAGGAGGGCAGGGGTAGTATGGAGAGGGAAAAGGAGAGGGAGAGAGAGAGGAGGTGTTATGAGACACTGAGTGGGTATGAGGCGGTGGAGAGCTGCAACAGCTGGGCGCATGTGCGCATGCAGCAGCAAGCCATGGCGTCTGGTGGTGCATTGGAGCAGGGAGCGAGTAGAGGGGGTGCGGGAGGGCAGGGGGTGGCAGCATCATCAGGGATGGTGCGACTGGTGGTGTCTGTGGAGGTACACTGCACCCTCTCATGCCTCTTCTGCCATGCTATGCCATATCACGCTAGCCATGCCACGCAATGCCACGCCATGCCATGCACGCCAAACCTCTTGCCTGCAGTGCTATCCCACATGGTGTGTGTGACCTAGTTGTATGTGCACCTATGCCCTCTCGCCCTCTGCCCTTGCTGGCCACGCCCCCCCGCTGTGCTGGTGGCATGGCAGGACACGGGCGAGGGCATCCCGTTGAGTGCGCAGAAGAGCATTTTCAAGCGCTTTGTGCAGGCGGACGCCAGCAGCACGCGCACGCATGGTGGCACGGGCATCGGGCTGACCATCTCACGGCACCTGGTGCACCTCATGGGCGGCAAGCTCAGCTTCGTGAGCCGCCCTGGCATCGGCACCACCTTCTACTTTGACTTCACCGTGCCCTTCCACGCCCCCAAACCACCCGCTGCTGCTGCTGCTCCTCGTAGTGCCGGGGCAGCAGTGGGTGGCAGGGCAGGGCGAGGGGTATCTAGTATCAACTCGAGCGACTGTGTGTTCACAGCTCCTCCTCTCTCCCCGCCCACACTGCAACACCAGGACGAGCTATACCAGGGTGCGGCCGCTGCCTCACTAGGCATCAGCTGCTCCCCCTCGCCCTCCCTCTGCCCTCCGCCCCTCCACCTCATGCCTCCACCAACACCACCCTCCGTGCGTTCCCCGCTGCCCGTGCACGAGGCACCTCCCTCCACACAGGGTGCGGCAGAAGCAGCAGCACTATCTCCAGAAGCAGCAGCAGCAGCAGCGGTGGCGGTGGCAGGGCAGCATGTGTGTTGGTGCCCGGCAGCGCTGTCAGGCCCGTATGCAGGTGTGGCGGCGGTGGTGCTGGACGACTGGGCGGTGCGCCGTGCTGTCATGCACACGTACCTCGCTCGCCTGGGAGTCACTGTCCTGCATGCTGATGCGCATGCACATGGCCATGCCTGCATGTGCCATGCAGGGCACCAGGCAGCAGGGCACCAGGCAGCAGGGCACGGAGTGGAGGGGGGCCCTCATGGCAGTGCGCGTACCGCTGCTGGCCTGCAGGGAGACGCGTCAGCAGAGAATGGAAGGGACATGGCTGTAGGCGCCCTTGGCAGCGCGAGTGCTGGTATGGAAGGTGTGAGTGCGGGTGGTGCAGGTGGCAGTGCAGGGTCGTGGGAGGCGGTGTGGGCAGCGCGGGGCATGGTGGTGGTGGTGGAGCATGAGTGGCTGGCGGACAGGGGCGGGTTGGCCAGGGGGTGGCGTCACCGCGTGGAGGCAGCAGCGGGGTGGGTGGTGCAGCAGTACCGCCGCTCCCACCACCATGCGCTCACTGCTGCCACACCACACACTGGGGGTGCTGCCAACAGCAGCATGGCAGGAGCGGCCGAGCAAGGGCGGTGGTTTGGGTTGCCGGAGAGGTGGCGGGCGATTGTGGTGTTGCGTGATGCGAGGCAGGCAGGCGGGCTGAAGCAGCGCCATGGCGTGGCAGCCGTGCTCATCAAGCCCATCCGCCACGCCGCCCTCGCTGGCTGCCTGGGGGAGGCCCTGGGGATGGACGCCGCCCCTGCTGCCCATACCCCGGCCGCCCAACCTGCCCCCGCCCTGCACATGCCTGCATCCGTGCTTCTCCCACACTCTCCTGCTGCGCGTGCTGGGCTGGACGGAGGGGGGCGGGCAGGGGTGTGCGATGAGAGTGAGGGCGGCGAGGAGGCCCCTCTTCTGCCGCTGAGTGCGTCCGTGGGTTCGTCACCGGCTGTGCCTGGGTGCTGCGTCCCACTGGCAGCACGCTCAGGCATGCAGCACCGCAGCAGCAGCACCAGTGCTCTGGCAGCGCTGTGTGGGGCGGGCAGGGGCGCACACGGAGGAGAAGGGCTAGGGGCGGAGCAGGCACATGTGAGGGAGGGCGGTGGTGGGGGCGAGGAGGCTAGTGCAAGGTCTGCACGTGAGGGGCGTGGGGGGATGGCAGGGAATGTGGTGGGTGAGCATGTCCCAGCAGTGGCAGCAGAGGATGCAGGAACCCAGTTGGCAGCAGGGGCCACAAGAGGAAAAAGAGACGTGGCTGGTGGCGGTGTGATGAGCAGTGCAAGGCACAAGAGCGCTGCTGCTGCACGGCTGTGCCATGCTCTGGAAGGCTCCAAGTTCCTCGTGGTCAGTGGTCGTGTGTTGCATGCACGCATGCTCAACAGCATCATGCTGCTCCCTGCACACCCCCCCTGCTGCTCCTCACGTATTCTTGTGTGGCGCCCGTTATGCATGTGTGCACCACAATATCCTCTTCCTTGACTGTGCTTCGCTGTGTGTATGGGGGGTGGGGTGAGGCGTGCGCATGGCAGGTGGATGACAATATGGTGAACCGCAAGGTGATCAGCAAGATGCTGCAGCGCTACGGTGTGCATGTGGAAGCCGTGGAGGGGGGCGCACAGGCGCTGCAGCGCCTGCAGCAGCCACATGAATTCGTGGGGGTCTTCATGGACGTGCAGGTGGACTCACATGCCCCATGCCCTATGCCCCATGCCCCATGCGTATCTGAACATGGAAGTGGCATTCCCCATGCCACATGCTGCATGGCCCATGCTGCATGGCAGGTGCCATGCCAAATTTAACCTGATGCATGCGGCACACCACATCCATGTGCATGCTTGTGGCTCTAGCTGTCAATTCTCGGTTCTCGTTCAAACGCCACCTCTGCCTGCTGCCCATGCGTCTGTGCCTTGCCTCCCCCTGCCCGCACCTCAGATGCCGGGCATGAACGGCTTCCAGGCCACCAGGGCCATTCGCAACATGGAGGCCGCTCAACCTGCTGCCTGCACTGCACCGCTGCCCACTGCTGCCACCGCACAGGAGAGCGTGCCTGCCACGCCAGTCGCACTAGCTGATCCTCATACGCAAGCACCACCGCCCCCTGGGGTGCCGTCGCCACTGCCAGCAGCAGCCACAGCACAGCGTGGCACTGTCGCTCCCCCCTCGCCGTCATCCCCATGCCCGCCTCCTGCATCGCCCTGCACGCCCCCTGGTCACCCTGCACCGCGGCAGCGCCTGCTGGTGTTTGCCCTCACGGCGGACATTGGTGGGGGCACGCGGGAGCGGTGTGCAGTGGTGGGCATGGACGGGTACATGACCAAGCCCATCGAGGAGGATCAACTCGCCTCTGTTGTGCTGCCCTTCTTCCACCCGCCTCCCACCGCCCCTCACACACACCCGCCTCTTCCTGCTGACCCCACTGCTTCCCCTCATTGACCCACTGGAGGGACCATTGTAGCACAGACGTGTTGTTGTGCAAGGAAGTGCATGCAGCTGTGAGAATCATGTGCATTTTAGACCAAGCTGCACCTACGATAGGATGCCTCCACCTAACACTTAGCTCATACACACAGTGGTTTGCCTGCCTAGCAGTGCTTAAGCTGCGGCTGCCTTTTTCCTTGCTCACAGCCTCTGCATGCCTCTCTCCACCCACTGGCCCCACAGCAGTCCCATGAGAAGGGGTGCATTGGTTGTAGCTGATGCTGAATATTGATAAGTGATGCGTGCAGTGTTGGCTTGGGCAACATGGCATACAATAATAAATAGCCTGTTTTGCACACTTCAACTCCCATCTCAGTTGGACTGGGTGGCCATGTGGTTGAGCTGCAGGCCTGGCAGGCATGGCGGCGCCGTGGCCCACTGCAGCTCACTGTGTGGCGACATGAAGGGCGGCCTGCCATGCATGCATGTCCCAGGCACACAGAGGCGTGGAGAGGGGCAGCACAGCAGGGGGACAAGGTCAATGCACAGCACACTAGAAGGTGACACTTGAGGGGGAAAATGAGAGAGAAGAGAACGCAAACGTTTCATGGATGCATGGCAGAGCCACCTACTTACCCACCATAAGGCCTCTCCTCACCCGTCTGATTCCCCCTGCCAGCACGCTTCCATGGGGAGTGCGTTCATGCGCCCATGGCGCCCCCCATGCATGCCCGCACTGCCCGCACCGCATGTTGCTTGTTCTGGTCATTTTGAGAGCTGCTCTCATCTCATCTGCCATTGCAAGTTGTTGCGCTGAGCTGCACAGGGGAAAGCTCGCATGGCAGGCACAGCTGACTGCACATTACCCTGCCACAACATGCCATCCCACCCCGCTCACGCGTGTGTGCCAGCAATTTCCCCCTCCATGCCAAGCCACGCCAACCCATGCCAAGCCATGCCAACCCATGCCAAGCCATGCCAAGCCACGCCAACCCATGCCAACCCATGCCAAGCCAAGCCATGCCAACCCATGCCAAGCCAATCCACGCCATGCCATGGCATGCCAATACAAGTGAAGCCATGCATGGCATGGCAGCCCATGTGAGCGCACCTCCTCTTGTGTCCATCGCATGCCACCGCGCCCTCCCTGCTCGCCATCCTCGCCGCCACCACCTGCCTGCTCATGCCTCCTCCCCTCCGGCCCCCCTGCAGCAGGGCACGGAGCGCAGTGCAGTGCTCGTGGGGCATCCACGCCAGGGCCTCCTGCACCATCCGCTCCACCGCCTCATCCTCTTCCGCCCCTCCTGCCGCCCATCCCGCCCTCCCTCTCACCCTCTCTCCGCTCCCGCCACATTGTTGGTGGCACTGTCCGTGCCCCCCTGCTGCGCGCGCGTGACTCCCATCCCTTCACACTTGCCCTCGCGCGCCTCCACACATCCTCCCTCCGCCTCGTCTCCACCCCTACTCCTGCTCTCTCCTCCCCTTCGCCCCATCGTGCGCCACGCTGTGCAACGCCTGTCGGCGTGCGTGCGTGTGCCCCCTGTGGGGCAGTGGGTGGCGGAGCACATGGCCGAGGGGCGCTATGCCGGGGTACACACGTCGCAGCACCCGCAAACCCACCGCCACGCCTGCTGCCCCGCATGCGGCCGCTGCTGCTGCTGATGGTACTGGTGATGCCACTGCTGCTGCTGCTGTTGCTTCTGGAAACGGCGATGCGGGTGCTGGTGGTGCTGCAGCTGCCGTCGTGGGTTCTTCTGCTTCCTCGCTACTCGCGCGCCCTGCTGGGATCCTCTCGCCTGCCGCGGGACATCCGTGCAGCACCGCCACAACCGTTCCCCCCGTGTCACTGCCTCGCCCATCTCCCTGTGCATCGCGTTCCATCCGCCCTGCCACCCACCGCTGCTACTCGCGCGCCGTCACTGCTAGGTGCCCCCACTACTGCGCCACTGCTCTCTCCTCCACACACGTCCACGAGTTTCGGCGCCAGCAGCAGCTGCAGCAGCAGCAGAGCAGTCGCGCCCTCCCCGGCATCAACACGACGACCGCCATGACTGCATGTCGCTAAGCACACCGCGTGCGCGCCCCTATCGCTGGCTCGCACGGCACGCCGCGTGCCGCACTCACTGCGCTCAACACCTTGCTGGCTCCGCCCACCAGCTCGCGTAGCGTATCACACAAGCCCTACCTCTCCGCCTCTCCGCGGCCAGCCCGTGCAGCTCGTTCGCGCGCGTGCGACGTACTCTCGCTTCTCTGCTTCCCGCCTCAGATTCCCGTGTCACGCGCTGTGGACATAGAATTGCTGAAGATGGCGCATTGCTCACGGCTCATGCTGTCATGCCATGATGCTGTCAGTCCTTGCTGCGGTGAAGCTAAAGAGTGTATTCTGGATAGCCGCTTCACGCGTAATCCCCAGTCGACTCGATTGTTCTCTTGCGTGAATCGCCTTGATTTCCTAACACGGCGGCGGCGAGGCAATTGGTTCGGCTGCATTGGGGATTCGCCGAACAGAAGTCCTTGGAGGAGCGAATGTGGAGTGGGGTTGGTGTCCGCGACAAAGAATCAGACATTTCGCAGTCAATGTGATCCCGAGGACCAAACATGATAAAAACACCAACAAAACAAGTACACGCCCCTTCAGCAATAGCACCATCCACATCGGTCATTGTCTCTGCCCCTTCACCGTCACACGCGCGATTCACGGGTTAGGTATGCGCCTTCCGCCCGCACCCACAGCAACCTGATTTATGAGTGGTTCTTTGCCAGATCTGTGTCCCCACGTTCATCCCTCCGTGCGGCCGTCTGTGCATGGAAGCAGTCATTGCTGTCTCGCCACTGCGCGTTACCCCGACCCTGCGCTCGTCCGCCGAGTTTCGGTGGTCCGTCGCGTCGTGCCCTCTTGTTCGCAGTAGCGATTCTCATCGTCGTTGGGGCCGTGCGGCCCCGTTGTTCCCGTTCCGCTCGTCCTCGCCGCACCCACCACCGGCACGCAGGTCCAATCTGGTTTCCTCGCCGCGCGCCGAAATGAAGTCCGCACGAGCAGCGCAGTTGACGGCGGGGAAGGCGCTGGTGGTGGTGGGGTCGGCGAACGCGGACGTGTACGTGGAGGTGGCGCGCATGCCGCTGGCGGGCGAGACGGTCAGCGCCACCTCGGGCTGCACGTTGCCCGGCGGCAAGGGCGCCAACCAGGCCGCGGCGGGCGCCCGCCTGGGACATCCCACGTACCTCATCGGACAGGTGCGAGCACACTAGGTGCCACACGCATTCGCGTGCTGCTGCCACCGGTTTCCCTCTCGCTTACTCTGTTCTAGGGCTCATTCCGTCCCCACCTCTCCCTCTCTTACTCGCTCTTTGCTTGCGCGCCGCCCTCGTGTCTCGGCGCGTGCGGCTGACAGGTGGGCAGCGACGCCAACGGCGCGATGCTGTCGGCAGCGCTGGCAGGCACGGGCGTGCGCGTGGACCACCTGGTCACGCTAGGCGCGCCCGCGCCCGCCTCTTCCTCCGCCGCCATGACGTCCGCGCACCCCAGCGTGGTGGCCGCCAACGCCGCCAAGGCGGAGGCCGAGGCAGCCCTGAGCCAGGCGCATGCGGCGGCGCAACGAGCACAGCTGGCTGCGGCGACTGCGAGCCGGGAGGCACAGGCTGCTGGTGGCGGTAACTTCCGAACAGGGGCTGCGAGTGCCGCTGCAGCCACCGCACAGGCGGAGGCAGAGGCAGCAGCTGCAGCCCAGAGAGCGGCGTCGGCGGCAGCACGGGCCGCCGCAGAGGCAGCGGCAGCAGCAGATGGACAGAGCGAGGCTGCTGCAAGGGGGGCGGCCGCTGCCGCTGCTTCTGCTGCGACTGCGGCTGCTAACATGGCAGTGGGCGGTGGAGAAGGGAGTGTGGCAACAGGGCAGGCGATAGTGATGCTGCAGGCGGACGGCAGCAACGCCATCATCATTGTGGGCGGGGCGAACATGGCGTGGAGCAAGAGGCGCGTGGAGGGCAGGGGTGGGGGGCGCAGGGAATCGTTCTTCAGCGAGCAGGCGAGGGAGGCGATCCGCGGGGCGGGCATGGTGCTGCTGCAGAGGGAGCTGCCGGACGACGTCAATGCTGAAGCCGCGGAGGTGGGTGGGATTGGTTGCGCGTGTCAAGGGCGGGAGTGAGAGTGCAGTGGTACGCACGGAAAGGTGGAAACGGAGTTTGTTCCAGTGGCACAGCATTCTGTCTTGCCTCAGAGTCGCTGCCTGTGTGTGATGCGTGTGTCCTCGCCCCCATCACTCGCTCTCCCTGTTCCAAATGCAGCTGGCAGGGGCAGCGGGAGTGCCAGTGGTGCTGGACATGGGGGGCATGGACGGGCCTCTACCAGACGCCATGGTGCGGCGCGTGGCAGTGATGAGCCCCAACGAGACGGAGCTGTCTCGCCTCACAGGCCTGCCCGTCTCCTCCATCCCCGACGCCGAGAGGGCTGCGCTCACCTTGCTGGCCAAGGTGTGGCGCACGAATGCTGGGATGGCATGCTGTCTCGGGTTAGCAGAGAGTACCTTTGTGCTAACTCATTTAGTGGCTATGCTATGCCATGCCAAGTCCCTATGGAGTTAATATCGTCCGTGCTGTACTCACTTGTGCGCCCCACTGCTGCTTCCTGCTCTGTCCAACGCTCGTGAAACCTGTACCAGGGAGTGCCCAAGGTGCTGGTGAAGCTGGGCAGCAGTGGCTCCTTGCTCGTGTCCTCCTCCCCTCTCGCACCCGCCTCCTCCTCCTCGCCCCTCTCTGCCACTCTCACCACGGGTACGGATGGCTCGGGGCGTCATGTGTGGCAGCTGCGGCAGCCAGTGGTGCCGGCGCGCACAGTGGTGGACACAACAGGGGCCGGCGATACCTTCACCGCTGCATATGCCGTGGCACTGCTGTCCGGCTCCTCCGATGCTGATGCGCTGCTATTCGCCTGTGAGTCCATCCAAGGGTGGTCGGATTGTGGGGGGTGCGGGGGGAGGAAAGGTGTAGGGGGTAAGGCATTGGCTTTCAGCACATCTATTTGAGTCGTCTGGGTTGTCCCCTGTGCACTAAATTGCGATTCTGACCTTGGTCTGATTCATGGCTCCTGTGCTTGTCCCATGCAGCCTGTGCTGCTTCGCTGTGTGTACAAAAGAAGGGAGCCATGCCAAGCCTCCCAGACCGGGCCGCGGTGCAAGCTTTGGTGCAGCAATCGCAGAACTCTTGGTGACTCCGCTTGTGGGACCAGCTCAAAGCTAAACTCGGGACCTTGTGACCTTGCTACACATTAATGTGTACATCGTATTGCCCTCTGCTAGTGAGTGGCATCACGGAAGGAATACTTGCTCAACAAGTGAATTCATTAGTTGTTAAACTCTTGAATCGTTTGTTATTGTTGGATTGCGCTGGGGCTTGTGAGCTCCTAATGAAGTACAATTGAAACTGCTACCGAGTCAGTCTGCTGGGAAGTGTGTTGGGCGAGAATCATTGCAGTGTGGAACTTGGGTGCGGGTTACCCGATGTGGACGTGCTGTCACACCTGCGAGCTACGACAACATTCGCAACGCAACGTGCAGATCTGTTGGTTCGTCTGTGCATGTCGTTCCCAGCCTTCCCGTCCATCCATCTCCGCCTTTCCGCGCTGCCCTTTCCCCTCCTCCACCCAACCTATCCACTGCGCCTCCCCCTACCCTCTGCCGCGCAAAGGCAGTGATGCTGGTGTGCGTGCAACATGGTTGCAGAGGCGGCCTTGGCTGCGCAAGCCAGACGAAGTGGAGCACACACAAACGACACCACCAACTCCCCGAGCAACCATCTGCTGTAGTGTTGCAATACCCAACTCACTTCTGTTGACCCCTTCAGCCGCATTCACTTGTGCCCTTCGCCGTGCGACATCCATTGCCATATTTTGCCGCCAGTCGGCAATCTGCGCAAAGCGTCTTCCCCACTGCATATTTCCGCAATGACCGCCGCCATGCCAGCGTCATCCCTCGACCCGCCCGCTCGTCGCTGGTCCTTCGCGCCCACTGCCGTCTTGGCCTGCTGCTTCTCCGCCTCGCCTGCGGACCGGGAATGCGCGGGAAATCACGGTAAACCGCAACGAGCGGTGACTTCATCGGATGCAGGTGTTGCTGTGTGCGATCCCTCGGCGCATGCCCATGACCGCGAGGATCGCAACATCGCATGTGCCCAATCATACAACACTCACAGCGTCGGAGCAAACGGTATCCGCAAATTCGATGGCAGCAGCTCGGAGACCCCGGATGCCAAAGGCGCTGTCGGCTCGCGTTGCCCTGCGCCACATGCGGACGCCAGGCGTAGCGCCACTGCCGGAGCCGGATCCGGAAAATGCGCCGACGGGCTCGCCGGTGAGGGCGGTCGGAGTCGGCTCTCCCGCTTGCTGTCTTCGATCCGCCGCAAGCGCCGCCGGCAGCCAGGCTCGCGGGGGGGACAGCCGCACGGCGGTGGGCAACGCGACGCGGAAAGGAGGGTGGGAGGGGAGGGCGGAGAGCCGGCGCCTGGTCCAGACGAGGCGCGGGACGTGTGGGAGGCGGCGGAGACCGGCGGGCTGAGCGCGTGGGTGGTGCCCGCGGTAGCGGCGGCTAACGCGGCGACGGCTGCGCTGGGCGACCTTGTTATGGGCGGCGGGCGCTTCTGCTTCCCGTCCCACCGGACCTTCCCGCCGCTCGCATCACTGAGCCGCTCCCGCAGCGTCAGTAGCGCCCACGATGCCGCGGCGGATAGTTCGCGCAGCCGCGGAAGCGTGTTGGGGCGGAACGCCAGCCTTGAGCGGAATGCGGGTGGCGAATCCGCGCGTGCTGGCGCAAGCCAAGGGGGAGGCGCAGAGACAGGCGACTGGGAGAAGAGCGAGAGGCGCGGCACAGACGCGCCTCAAGAAAGCGGAGCGCGCGAGGATTCGACGTGGGAGATTGAAGGGCAGTCGACGGCGGCCGCGGATAGCGAAGGCCGTGAGGAGGAGGGGGTGACGCGTGGAGGGCAGGAGGGGGGATCTGTACCTGTGGCGGAGGCGGGAGAGCGAATTGTGGGGGCGATCTGCGATGGTGACGCGGGCGCGGATGCGGACGAGGGTGGGGATGCGCTGAGAGCTGCTGAGATGGGCTCGGACGGGCCTGCGGGAGGGGGTAGCACGTGCCAAGCTAGGGACGCGGAGGAGTGCGGGGACGGGGAGAAGGCGTCGGCAGCGGGTCTAGAGAAACGCTTGCTTCCCCAGGAGGCGAAAGGGGAGGAGGAAGGTAGCGAGGAGAGTAAAGCGGGCAGGAATGGGATCACGGGTGGTGCGTTGGAGGGCAGTGCTGGCGCGGCTACTGGCAACGGCGCGAGGCGGGCGGGCAAGCCGGTGAATCGCGCGTGGCACCACAGGGGCGCGTCGGAGGGCGAGGGGGCGAGCGCGCGCCCCTCCTCCAGCAGTGGTGCCGTCAGCGCCTCCCCCATGCCTCCCCTGCCGCCCCGACCGCAAACGTCCGCAGCGGTGAGGGATGGGAAGGGCGGAGGGGAAGGGGCGCGGGCAATACAGGGCGGGGGAGATGTGCAGGTGCTGCGGATGGAGTGGGGGAGTGGCGGGGAGGCGGGGTGGGTAGTGAGGCACGGGCGACAGCAGCGCAGGCAGCTGCAGGCACAGCAGGAGGAGGAGGAGGAGGAGGCGCATGTGGAGGAGAGCGAGGAGGTGCATGCGGTGGGTGAGGGCTCGCCGCACTCGCATGCCAGTGCGAGTGGCAGTGGGGGCCGGCATGGTGCAGGTGAAGTTGACACGGCAGCGGGGAGCGGTGGTGGCAGCAGCAGGATGAAGGCGGGGTGGGGAGGGGATGGCAGGGAAGCATGTGTGCGGCATGCTCGGTCGCGGTCCATGGCAGTGAGCCTGCCGTCCTCCTCCACGCTCGTCCACGTGCACCCCTTCCAGCAACGCGTTCGCATGTTCACCACCGCCTCCACATCCCCCTCCGCGCACGCTCCCCCGGCGCTCACTGCCTCCGCTGCCCCGGTGCCTGCTGACCGCGCGTGTGTACGGTCAGTCGGTGCGCGCCCGAGCACTGAAGGGTGGCCGGAGCACACAGCGGAGGCTGGAGCACCCATGCTGCAGGCGTCGCCGCGAGTGCAGATGCTGCAGCGCCCCCATTCCGCTGGTGGACGGCGCCCCAACTGCAGCTGCCTGAGCTGCAGCGGTGGCAGCGGTGGTGCCATGCGTCATAGCGCTGGCCCCCTCGCTCCTTGCACTCGCGACCGCAGTGATGACAAGAGCGCACTGCACAGCCAGCCGTGGGGCGACAGCGGGCAAGCACTCGAGCCACCCTCTGCGCATGAGGGCTCTGGGCTCCCTGCTCTCGATGCAGGCACTGACAGTCTGGTGCCACTGGCCCCATGCTCCCCTGCTCACAGCAGAGGCGCAGTGCCACGGAGTGCCAGTGGCAGTGCTGGTCGCAGCAACATACTGAGGAGCAGCAGTGGGAGCAGTGCCGCCAGGCCCGTGCGCCGGGTTGCAGAGAGTGACGCGCATAGCACCAGCTCCCCAACCACCTTCCACGGATCCCCTGCACCTACCAATCGCAGCCCCATGCGCCCCCCCCTGGCTGCCGTCCCTTGGGAGCAGGGAGTGGCGGGTGGTGGAAGATCAGGGGTGGCACAGTCAGGCGTGGGCAGGCCGGGCAGGACGAGGAAGGTGAGGCGGTGGGCGAGTGAGGACTTCAGGGATGCCATGGGCGTGGGGCAGTCGCCAGGCAGTATGCCGCAGGCGGGGGGGAGGGAGGCAGGGAGTGGGAGCGAGAGGGAGGCGGGCACGGTAAGAAGTAGTGCCCCGTGGGCCAGCAGAGGGCAGGCCATGGACAGTGCGGGGGAGTTGATGCAGCAGTCTGAGTGGATGGGGGAGGAGAGGGGGTCAAGGTGGGCAGTGGAGGGGTTTGGATCTCCAGTGGGCAGTGGTGATGAGGCTAGGGAGCACATGGGCAGAGAGCAGGAGCGGAGGATGAGAAGGAGGGGGGTAGGGCAGAGGGTATCACGAGAGAGGGCGACAGGGGTGGTAGATGACTGGGAGGACCCCGAGTGCAGAAATGTAGGGAGTGGGGATATAGAGAATGGGGGCGGCAGTGGGCATGCGAGGGTAGGGGCAGGTCCTCGGGTTGTAGGCAGCAGGCGGCTTCAGAAGCACAGGTCAGCGCCCATCAAGAGCCTTTAGCACGTGGTGGTGGGTAAGATGGCCGGAGGAGGCGATGGTGATGGTGGTGGTGATGGTGTGAGCATGGGTGTGTGTGTGGATGCAGGTGTTGGGGACATGGATGAGGCAGATCTGGAGTTCATGAGCAACCACTGGCCTCTGCCTGCTTTGCAAGGAAGGGCAAGTCCTCGTGTCTCAGTTCCGAATCAAGCCTTCTAATTATCACTGCTCTAGTTCTTTTCTGGGCAAAGTCTTGCTTCCTTGTCTTGACTTGCACGATTGATTGTATTAAATATATAGTTACCGTGTGATGAATGCAGTGTTCAGAATCTTCCAACCGACTTGTTTCCCCGATGAATGAACGCCTTTTGCGTCGGGCAACGCGAGGGCACACGATGAAGTTTCTTTTGAGTAGATCAGAGGAGCATCAAATTGCCGTCACACATCTCACGTCACTCGCCCGAAATCAGCTACCTAGATGTGGTGATGGAGCGCGTAGTGCTATCTGGTGCAACGCTCGCGTCGCTAGTCCATGGATTGGCTGCTGGCGAGACCGATGGACTTCTTCTCGGCCGCCTGGAGCAGCGCACCACAGCTGTATACTCCGACGCGCAGGGCGATGATGGGCAGATTTCGCGCAACGATTTCTGTTTGGTGGTGACTGGATTTCGGTCGGCTGGTCGCGTCTTAAGCTTCTACGATGGAACGGGTACTGTGGACGTCGATCGAGTGCAGCTGCTCCTGGGCCCTTCGGAGAACGAGGGGTTTGGAGTCGCTGGCGACGGCCGGAGGAACACAGTTGCTTCCACCTCCGGATCTTGGGCTTGTTACACGCGGCGCATTCGCGACGCGAGTGTAGCGATGTGATGTTACATGTGCGGTTCGATGTAATGCATTTGCTATAAATCGACCTGCCTTGTATGCATGCTTTATACTGAAATCCTGAATCTTCTTGTACATGGTCCATTCGAACCAAAATTCCAGAGAGGTCTATCCTTGCTTCTAAGAGCACTAGCAATCACGTGAACGCCAATATCTCGGCGTATACTTGGGCGATTAACGTGTTTGATGGCTTGTTGGAAAGCCAAGACTGTGCTCTATCGTTTAGTGCAACTTAGAGTTCCTGCAAAGTAGAGGAGACGCCTCTACAACAGTGGTATCAGAGCTGGTCGGTAGAGTCTACGTGCGCGACTTGTAGCAAGCATGATGACGTCAAGCGAAACCTCCGGCACTTCCTTAGGTGGTGTCGTCTCGAATCCCGGCGAACCCTGGACAAACGCGACGGTGTTCGACACGTCGGCGGTTCCGATTTTCACGGGACAAAACTACTCCGCGTGGAAATTTAAGTTCCAAGTGCTCATGATGGAGCGGGGACTTTGGGGTCTCTTCGACGGAACGGAGAAAAAGCCGGTCAACGAGGACGAGATCGCGGCATGGAAGAAGAAGGACCAAAAGGCGTTCGCAACGTTGATTTCGCGCATCGGCATCAACCTCGTGAGTTCGGTGCGCACGTGCATCAAGCTCGAAGCTTCGGCGCGTGAAGCATGGAAGCGGCTCGAGACGATGCACGTGAACAAGACTCTCCACGGCAAGATCCTAGCCCGAAATGCGTTCTACACGGTGAAGTTGCGCGCGGGCGAATCGATGCACGAGTATGCGACTCGTGTGGAGGAACTCGGGGAAACGTTCATGGACCTCGGTGGAACGGTCACGGAGGAGGATTGGATTCTCACCTTGCTTTGCGGCCTTCCGGAAGAGTGGTCGACGGTGATTACGACACTCGATAGCGTGCAAAACACTTGGACGAAGGAAATGGTGGTCGGTCGGCTTCTCCATGAAGAATCGCGACGCCAACAATTCGCTAACGAGAGCGTGGAGACCGCCATGTTCTCCGGAGGGAGCTCCGGAAAGAAGTCCAAGTGGAGCAACGGTGAGGCAAAGAAGTCGTCCGGTGGAAACGGTCGCGGCAAGGGCAACGCATCGAACGGTTCGAGCAAGTGTCATTATTGTCGCAAAGCGGGGCACTTTTGGCGTGAATGTCGGAAGCGGCCGAGCGATTGGATTCCATCGAAGGCGCGGAACCAAGAGGGCAACGTGCACACGGCATCCGGCGAGGCGGATGATTCAACGGAGTCGCTCGTTTTGTTGGCCGGTGACGGGATCAACACTTCAAACGACGCGTGGTTCCTCGACACCGGTGCAACACAACACATGACGCACTCGGCGTCGCTCCTCAACGTCGGTGCTCCGGGAGACGTCAAGCGCGTCGTCTTCGGGAACGATAAATCGCTACCGGTGGTTGGAGTTGGGAGTACGCGTCTCATCGTCGATGGCGGGCCGGTGGACATCACGAACGTGCTTCACGTCCCGGGATTGAAGGTGAATCTACTCTCCGTCACTCAACTCGCAAAGAAAGACGTGAAGGTCACCATCGATGGCGCGAAGATGAACCTCTTTTGGAAGGGGAAGCAATTCGCGCAAGGCGTTCTCAACGGACAACTCTACCAACTCAAGACGCATCCGACAACGGCCTCATCCAACGTGGCGCAAGGCTCCAAGGCGACTCTCAAAATGTGGCATAATCGGCTTGCGCACGCCAACTACGACTCGGTCAAAGAGTTGGCCAACAAAGGACTTGCGAAGGGATTTGACGTGATCGCCGGCAACGACGAGAAGGGCGTGTGCGCGGCGTGTGTCGAAGGAAAAATGGCTCGCAAGCCATTTGGTAGCCGTACCTCACCCCTCGCAAAGGACCCGCTTGCGCTTGTTCACATGGACGTGTGTGGACCGATGCGGCATGCATCAAAGGGAGGAGCGCGGTTCCTCTTAGTGATGCTCGACGACGCGACGCGGATGAGTTGGACCCGACTCTTGAAGGCTAAGGGAGATGCGGCCAAGGCGATTCAAGAGTGGGCGCTCGACGTTTGCGACGACGGCAAGAAGCGGATCAAGTGCATTCGCACCGACGGTGGCGGCGAATTCGTGAGCAACGAGCTTGAAAAATGGATGAAAAGCAAGGGCATTAAGCACGACGTCACGACACCCTACACACCCCAACAAAATGGAGCGGTAGAGCGGCTCAATCGCACATTGATGGAGGCCGTTCGTTCACTTCTTCAACACTCCAAGCTTGGGAACGAGTGGTGGGGAGAGGCGAGTGCGCTAGCGGCATGGATTCGTAATCGTGTGCCAACAAAGGTGCTACCGGGAACGACTCCGTTCGAAGCATGGACCGGAACGAAGCCGAACCTATACCGCCTACGCACCTTTGGGTGCCTTTGCTACTACCATGTACCGGATCCACTTCGCCACAAGTTGCAACCGAAAGCTCGTGCAGCGATCTACTTGGGGATTGCGGCGAACGAGCGTGCATGGCGAGTGTGGGATTTGGATGAAAAACGCGTCATCACGTCTCGGGATGTGATCTTCGACGAAGACAAGTTCCCGACAAAGGAGAAACAAACGCCGCAACTCACCGTCGTCCTTCCCGCACGAGAGGAGGATGAAGCGGTGGAGGTTTCACCGCACGTGAAGAAGGGAGCCGAAAGTGGAGGGGGAGAGAACGAGGAGTGCGATGATGATGTCGAGGAGGTGCCACCAACCGAGGAGGCCACTTCCTCCGCACCTTCTTCCCTACCATTGGCGTTGACTCGCGGGCGTCGTACACCTCGCCCCAGCACGAGGTTAACCGACTATGCTACGGTCGCCGTTGGGGAGTCGGATGAGGAGAGTGCGGCGATTTGCCTAGCGACCATCGGCGACGATAACCCACGCACTCACAAGGAGGCTTTGGCTTCCCCGGATGCACCGCTATGGAAGCAAGCGATGGAGAGGGAGTTAGCATCGATCAAGGAGAACGATGTTTTCGAGCTCGTCGACCCGCCGAAGGGTGCCTACTTGGTGGGATGCAAGTGGGTGCTTAGGAAGAAATTGGGAGCCGATGGAGGTGTCGAACGCTACAAGGCGCGGCTTGTGGCGCAAGGGTACACTCAACGGGAGGGGGAGCACTATAGTGAGACCTTCGCTCCCGTTTCGAAGGCCTCCACTCTTCGGGTGTTGCTCGCGCTAGCGGCATCTCTCAACCTCGAGGTGGAACAATTGGACGTTTGCACCGCCTTCCTCTACGGGCTTCTCATGGAAGAAGTCTACATGCGGCAACCCCCGGGGTACGATGACGGTAGCGGTCGGGTGTGGAAGCTCAAGCGTACCCTCTATGGCTTGAAGCAAAGCCCACGCGGATGGTACAAGCGCATCGACGACTTTCTTCTTCAACACGGCTTCGCGCGTAGCGTGTGTGATAGCGCTTTGTACTTGTTGAAGGAGGGGGAGAAGCAATTGGTGCTTTTGCTCTACGTCGATGACCTCCTTCTTTTCTCCGACTCCAAAGACCTCATTCGAGAGGTCAAGCAACGGCTAGGGGCGGAGTTTGCCATGAGGGACTTGGGACCGGTGACGTACTACCTCGGGATGCACGTCGACCGCGACCGCGCGAACGGGACCATTCACCTCCACCAAGAAAAATATGTGAAAGGGGTTGTGGAGCGCTTCGGCATGGGTAATAGCAACCCGGTGGGGACGCCACTAGACACGGGATTTTCTTGCCTCCCGGGAGAGGAAGAATCCGCCCTCGACGAAGCCGAAGGGAAGCGGTTTCATTCGCTAGTCGGCTCACTCATGTATGCCGCCGTTTCCACCCGTCCCGACCTCTCATACGCCGCCGGGGTACTTGGACGAGCCGTAAGCAACCCTCATACCGAGCATGTGCGTGCGGGAGGACGTGTTCTACGCTACCTCCAAGGCACACCCAACTTGGGAATCGTATATGAAGCCGGTCCAATCGTGCTTAAGGGCTACACCGACTCGGATTATGCCGGTGATCAAAGCAAGCGCAAGAGTACCGGCGGGTACGTCTTCACCTTGCTTGGGGGAGCCGTGAGTTGGCAAAGCAAGTTGCAACCAACCGTGGCTCTAAGCACAACGGAAGCGGAGTATATGGCACTCACTCAAGGAGCCATGGAGGCAATATGGCTACGGCGCCTTCTAGCGGAGCTTGGGCATCCTCAAGCCGACCCAACTCCTCTCTTTTGTGACAACCAAGCGGCCATAAACCTCACTCACAATGCCGTCCTTCACGGGCGTACCAAGCACATTGAGGTGAAGCATCACTTCATTCGTGAGGTGGTCGAGAGAGGTGAGGTCAAGGTCACATACATAAGCACCAAGGCGCAACCCGCGGATTTCCTCACTAAACCACTCCCTAAGGATTCATTCCGTGCATGCCGTGAGCGTGTTGGTATGAACACCTAGTGGCTTGGGTGCAAGGGGGAGTGTTGGAAGGAAACGGTGGTGGGGCGGTGGTATGCCCCCAACCCACCGAGGGCACTTCGGTGCCTTCGATCCCTTTGACTAGGGATCGGTGGGGTGGCACCGATTGACTTCGGGAGACTCACCCTTCGGTGCCACGTGGCGGCACCACATTCCAACCTTCAAGTGCAAGGCGAATTCGGTGTGTTCGGTGTGAAATTCGGTGGTCGAATTTCACCCCAACCGAAATGTTACACGCGGCGCATTCGCGACGCGAGTGTAGCGATGTGATGTTACATGTGCGGTTCGATGTAATGCATTTGCTATAAATCGACCTGCCTTGTATGCATGCTTTATACTGAAATCCTGAATCTTCTTGTACATGGTCCATTCGAACCAAAATTCCAGAGAGGTCTATCCTTGCTTCTAAGAGCACTAGCAATCACGTGAACGCCAATATCTCGGCGTATACTTGGGCGATTAACGTGTTTGACGGCTTGTTGGAAAGCCAAGACTGTGCTCTATCGTTTAGTGCAACTTAGAGTTCCTGCAAAGTAGAGGAGACGCCTCTACAACAGGGCTGGGCCTCACGAATGTGTCATTGGCTGGTTTGTCCGACGTTCCAATTCCCCCCTTCAGCCGTCCATGCGAGAGGCAGCGGTGACCGCACAGCTTAACGACCTGCGACAAGCCTTGCAGTCTGGTGATAGTCAGAAGCACCAGGCATCAGAGCTGCGAAATGAAGCGGAACCCGACGGTCACGGAGCATCTGGTTTCAAGCACGCTGGCACGCGCCCACAACGAGACTGGGGGCAATTGGCCCAACTTCCGGACATGTGCATGAAGAGGTGGTTCAGCAAATCAATCCGGCCTATCCTTTGCATCTTCAACTCGCAGTGGGATTCCACCAGATCCACGCATACTACGCACTACCTTGCCTATGCCCTCTCCCCAGAGTTTCCTCCGACTTCCTCTATCTCTGCCACTGTTTCAAACCGTCTTGCACTTCTGCCTCTTCCGATCTCTGTTGCGAACCTTGGACTCGCGCATCGACCCTCCTTCCCCACCTTCCTTTCCATGGCCCTGCCTTCCGTACAACCGTACCCGCTAAGTAGTGTCGTGAGTTCCACGGCCAGTGACTGCAACTCGCAGCAGTTGCAGTGGGAGGAGTTGCAACACAAGGGTCGACAGCAGGTGGCTGCATTTGAAGCTGTATACGAAGGTACGCTGTCAAGGCTTGAAGCCAGTGCAGCAGCTGCTGCAGACAGCACCGTTGAGCTTGTGTAGATGCAGGGTAGCCTTGTAGGACCCGAACCGTGCATAACAATTATTCAGTGTGAAGATTATTCGCCTTGCCACTGCCAGGACAGGAAGCAGCATGGTATGGTAGTGATACCGTATTCTTCCGGCTATAGGACCCGCCGGTAAAAGGGTCCCCTGGGACTCTCTATAGGGGAGTGGGACTCCTATTTTGATACTGTTTTGTGAGGGACCCCCTTTTGCCCCTAACAGTGCAAGATCCCCCTATTTAGAAAGCTTGCTTTCTTGTGTTTGCAATGGCAACGAGCTTCGTTTCAAATGGGTCTTCTGAGACATGAGACGGGGAGATGCTGCGGAGACGGTAAAGGTTGTTGATGGTTTATGCGACGACATGTCGGTGGAGTTCCAATCATGCGCGAAGAAGAAGGCTGGCAGCCTGGCACCGATGTTGATCGAGGTGTAGTATTCTCTGCTGTTGCATTGGAGTGTCGCCCTAAGTGAGTGTAGCACAGTAGTGGTTATTTATAAGCGTTGGCTCACACGTGAGCTTCGGATACGAACTCGCAAGCAGTATGGGAGGACACGGGCAGCGGGCGTTAGTATTCTGTGTAATGATGGATGTGATGCTTGTAGGAGCCCAACCCTTGTTGCGGTCACAACCGTGCTCACATTACGAAGCGTGCATGCAACTTGTATCCGGGTACGGTAAATCTGTCAATGTTTAAGCCCTTGGTATTCTTACTCATCTGCTATAGTTGTGCACCATTTCAAACTCACCAAAATTTTGTTCAACCAGCCAACTCAAATGTGATCGCGTCCAAACCTTGCACTTTGGGCTTTAGCCCTGGTATTTGACCAATATATAACTAAACTCACGAGCCAGAAAGGGACCCACCGGTCCTCCTCCCCCCTGGGGAGCTCGCTGGCCAGCACCGCACAGGACCCACCGGTCCTCCTCCCCCCTGGGGAGCTCGCTGGCCAGCACCGCACAGGACCCACCGGTCGCCCTCCCCCTTGGGGAGCTCGCTGGCCAGCACTGCACAGGACCCACCGGTCCTCCTCCCCCCTGGGGAGCTCGCTGGCCAGCACCGCACAGGACCCACCGGGCCTCCTCCCCCCTGGTGAGCTCGCTGGCCAGCACCGCACAGGACCCACCGGTCCTCCTCCCCCCTGGGGAGCTCGCTGGCCAGCACCGCAAAGGACCCACCGGGCCTCCTCCCCCCTGGTGAGATCGCTGGCCAGCACCGCACAGGACCCACCGGTCCTCCTCCCCCCTGGGGAGCTCGCTGGCCAGCACCGCACAGGACCCACCGGTCCCCCTGGGGAGCTCGCTGGCCAGCACCGCACAGGACCCACCGGTCCTCCTCCCCCCTGGGGAGCTCGCTGGCCAGCACCGCACAGGACCCACAGGTCCGTTTCCGGCTGGCGCGAGGCCCCCGGTCCCAATCTCCCACGGGAGCGCATGGGTTGTGCCAAATGTTTTGCCGCAGTCTTTCTTCGCCGGTAGTCTCTCATGGCGACCCAAAGCAGGCCCTCAGATTCACTTTGAGGCACGTAAGGGTATCAGGGTCCCTCTGGCCCTAGACCCTGATCGACAGGGTCGCCTAGGAAAAAAGCCTGAAAGTTCAGTGTTACTTAAAAAAAAAGTCTGATGCATCAGTGTCACCTATAGAAAAAGGCTGATAGTAGTGAAGCTGATTTTTTTAACTTAAAACTCTATGAAGGTCGCAAACAGCCTTCAATCTATCTATCTGTGTTGTAAACCAAAGCCTATCTTGCTTGCTAGCTAGCTATGCATTGCATCCAGCATGACTCTGGGTCTGGGTGAGTTCAGTAATCATCATCTGATGAGGCCTGCTTGTCATCATCATCTTCTCTTCCCTTAGCCTGTCGTTCTGCCCACTCTTCCTCCTCTAGGGCCTCCTTTCCCGTGCTATCCCTGCCCTCTCCCTCTCTTTCGGGTGGTGCCGCCACATTGCCGAATGGGCGGCGTCGTCGAGAAGCTTCTGCTGGTGTTTCAACGCCTCCTTGTGCTTGGTAGTTGCCGCATGCCGTTTGAACGCCTGCGTCTGAACGTCTGTGGCGCCCTTTCCGCCTCTCCCACACGGTCCAGCGTAGCCTGCGTGCTCCGTACAGATGCTGCACTTGAAAGCGGGGAAACCGTCAGCTTTTTTTAGCAGAATAAGCCAAGAAAACCGCTCGAGCCACTCGCTTTTGTACTTATACAGAGCCTCTGCGTAGGTTGCGTCTGGCCCTGCCGGTTTAGAAGGCCCAGGTGTTGAGGGCGACGCCTGCGTGCCTGCGGTCGCGGGCGTCGACAGTTGGTCGGCTGGCGAAGCCAGTGTTGCACCAGCGGGACCTCCCTTCTTGGGCCACGGCAGCGTTGACTGCGTGTACCTGGCGGACTTCTTAGCCACTGGCACCGCCGCGATTTCTTCACCTGAAGGGTTGGAGCTGTCTTGCTCCAACACGGGCGCAGTAGGGGAGGGACACAGAGGCTCGTCGATGGGTTCAAATGGAACATCGACGGTCGGCGCGACTGCAGGCGCCTTTCCATGGTTATCTACTGCCGCTAAGTTGGAGAATAGCAGATCCAGCCCGGTAACGGCCGCAGACAGATCAATTGGCGAACGACGAGCGGGTTCATCGCCGGGGTCATCAGGTCGTTCAATGGCGTCCGGGTGGTCCGCCATTGATTGCGCTGTGAACAAGCAACATCTAACGGGACTCCCTAGCTAGCTGAACGATGGAGGTTTGCCAGGAAGAGAGGACACACGGCTGACTACCTCTTGGTACACCAGGCAGCAACGCGATGAAACCTTACCCTTGCTAGATGGAAGGAAAGCATGGAGCAGACTGGGGTGGGAGACTGGATGGCTGGCAGCACGGCTGGGCGGCGTGGATGCATCCGTGCTTGCCACCACGACTTAGACAAAACGGGCCAGAGGACCACAGGTGCTTCACATGGGCCTGAATCCCTCGTTGCGCTGCCTGCCAGCATCGCTGTGCTGCAACCCTGTAATTGGCCAAATCAGGAAATGCTGTCAAAGTGGCCAATCATCGCACCACGCGCGCCAACAACGCATCCCTCTACGAGGCAAATTTGTCTGCTACTCACCGCCACGCCCTGCTGACACCGCGGGAATCTGATATTCCCTGTACAGCCGGGCAACTACACACGAACCTGTCAAACTTATATGATCTAGCCTGTGTAGGCTGTAGCGGGTTAGACACTAAGGGGTACACAATTCTAGGGTTTCATATTTGTATCACTTTCATTCCTTAGTCATTCATTCTCGTTCTAAGTTTCTCATGGTATTGAGCAGGTTCCCCAGTGGGAACTCTCCTAGGGCCCACCAAGTTTGAGTTTTTTTTTCCTGCCCGGGGCGCGCGTTGTCCCCTGCCCGAGGCGCGCCTAGTGTTCTGCCCTTAGCGGCCCGTCGCGCCCTCCTTAGCGGCCCCGTCGTGCCCTCGTTAGCGGCCCGTCGCGCCGCCCTTAGCGGCCCCGTCGCCGCCTCTGCCGGCCTCGTTGCCGCCCTTGACGGCCCCGTCGCCGCCCCCTTCCGGCCCCGTCGCCGTCCTTCCGCGGCCCCGTCGCCGCCTCCCCCTTTCAGCGGCCCCGTCGCCGCCCTTTCAGCGGCCCCGTCGCCGCCCTTTCAGCGGCCCCGTCGCCGCCCTTTCAGCGGCCCCGTCGCCGCCCTTTCAGCGGCCCCGTCGCCGCCCTCTCAGCGGCCCCGTCGCCGCCCTCTCAGCGGCCCCGTCGCCGCCCTTTCAGCGGCCCCGTCGCTGCCCTCTCAGCGGCCCCGTCGCCGCCCTTTCAGCGGCCCCGTCGCCGCCCTCTCAGCGGCCCCGTCGCCGCCCTTTCAGCGGCCCCGTCGCCGCCTCTTAGCGGCTTCGTCACCGCCCTTCAGCGGCCCCGTCGCCGCCCTTTCAGCAGCCCCGTCGTCGCCTCTTAGCGGCCTCGTCGCCGCCCTTCAGCGGCCCCGTCGCCGCCCTTCAGCGGCCCCGTCGCCGCCCCCTTTCCGTGGCCCCGTCGCCACCCGTTTCCGCGGCCCCGTCGCCGCCCCTACTCGGCCTCGTCGCCGCCCCTTTCGGCGGCCTCGTCGCCGCCCTTCAGCGGCCCCGTCGCCGCTCCTTCGCGGCAGCGATGCTGCCCTTCACGGCCCCGCCGAGCCACCTTCGCTGCCGAGCCGCTGAGCCGCCGAGCCACCTTTGCCGCCGAGCCGCCGAGCCGCCTTTGCCGCCGAGCCGCCGAGCCGCCGAGCCGCACTGCAGCCGAGCCGCCGAGCCGCCGGGCCGCCGCAGTCGAGACGCCGCCGTCACTGCAGTAGCGGCCCTGTCCCTGCCGGCCTGCCCCGGACCGCCTCACTTGCCTGGTAAGAGCACCGCCTCTGCCACTGCACTGCCCTACCCCACTGTGCTCACTGCCTGTCTACTGCTGTCATGGCCACCCCCAGTGTTCTCACCTTTGACGCTGAGGGTCGGGCTGTTGACTTTGAGGTCTGGGTAGATGATCTGCAGCTTTTCCTACAGTGCGATAGGGCAGACGGTCTCTCCCTGTTTGACCTCACTTCTGGTGCCTCTCCTGCCCCTGCTGCTGATGCTGACGCCACTGTTCGCTCACAGTGGGCCACACGCGATGCTGCTGCTCGCCTTGCTGTGCGCCGCCACTTACCGACCGCTGAGCGCGCGCATTTTAGTCAGTACAAGAGTGCTAAGACCTTGTACGACGCTGTCGTTGCACGCTACTCTTCCCCTGCCACTGCTGCCCTTAGCCGCCTCATACTGCCGTACCTCTTCCCTGACCTCGCCGCTTTTCCCACAGTCGCTGACCTCATTACTCACCTTCGCACTAGTGACATTCGCTACCGCGCTGCGCTTCCTGCTGAGTTCCGCGCCAAGAACCCCCCCCCTATGTACATCACCCTCTACTACATAGTCACCCGGCTCCCTGACACCCTTCGCTCGGTCAGGGACCACTTCCTCTCTGTTTGCCCCACCACCCTCACCGTTGACCTCCTCGAGGAGCGCCTCCTAGCAGCAGAAAAGAGTATAGTCACTGTAGGAGCCTCTCGTGGTGACCCTCGTACCCCTGTCTTTGAGGGGTGCTCCCCCTCCCCCCTCTTGCCCTCTGTTGCCTCTGCTGCTGCGGCCGACCTCGTTGGTCTTGAGTCGGTCGGCGCGGCGTCTGCCCCTAGCGGGAGACGCCGCTCAGGCAAGGGCAAGGGGGGCAAGGGCGCTGGAGGAGCTGGCGAGGGCGGTGGAGGCGGCGGTGGAGGCGGCGGAGGGGGTGGGGGTGGCGGTGGGAGTGGTGGCGGGGGTGGGGGCGCTAGTGGCGGCAGTGGAGGCGGAGGAGGCGGCGGTGGTGGCGGTGCGGGCGGAGGTGGCGGAGGTGGAGGTGGTGGTGGAGGTAGCGGCGGCGGAGGTGGAGCTGGTCGGGGCGGCGCTACGCAGAGGGTCGGCTCCGGTGGTGGTCAGCGCCAGCAGCAGCAGCAGCAGCGCACTCGTGAGACCCCTTCCCCCCAGCAGCTTCGTGGGTGGTACACTGCTCGTCAGCGGGGTGGGGGTGCTGGCCCCTGTACCTACGTTCTACGTACCGGCGACCGCGCGGGTGAGCAGTGTGGGGGTCCGCACTCCACCCAGCGCTGCTTCGGCCACCTGACGGACGCTTGGCGTCATCAGTTCCCCGACGCTACTGAGATCCCTCGCTGGGGCGAGCTGTTTCGGGCGGGTGTTCCGATCTTTGATCTTGACTATGATGCTATTCTTGCTGCCATGTATGCTGTGACTATTAGTGATGAGGGTGACTGTTACCGGTGTTTTCCGCCTGACCCGGGCATTGAGGCTGCTGCTCTAGGTGCTGGTGAGGCTGCTGCTCTAGGTGCTAGTGCGCCTGCTGCCCCAGGTGCTGGTGAGTCTGCGCTCTCAGGTACCGCGTCGGCTCCGGCCACCCACACCTTCACCCTTGACTCGGGTGCTTCCCGCTCCTTTTTTCGAGACCGCACCACGCTTACGCCGCTTAGTCGGCCAGTGGCAGTATCCTTGGCAGACCCCTCTGGGGGTCCTGTCCTTGCCCACTTCTCCACTGTTCTACCGTGTCCGGCGGCCCCTTCTGGAACCCTGTCGGGTCTTTACCTCCCCTCGTTCTCTACGAACTTGGTGAGTGGTGCTGACCTCCAGGATGGAGGGGTTCACCAGTTCACTCCTGCGAGTCAGCGAGTGACCCACTGTACCTGTGCTCGGACGGGCCGTCACTTGGCCACATTTACCCGTCAGCCGGGGTCGAGCCTGTACACACTGACTACTGAGTCTCCTCCAGTCGCTGAGTCTGCTCAGGTAGCCGCGTCGGGTCAGGTGTTTGCTGCGGCGTCCAGGTCTGGTCCTGAGTCTGCCCCCTGCTCGTGTCGTCTCCTGTCTCACCAGACTCTCCTCTGGCACCACCGCCTTGGTCACCCCTCCCTGCCTCGTCTTTGAGGCATGGCCTCCCGTGTCCTTGTCTCTGGTCTCCCCCCGGTCCCTCCCTCCCCTTCCTCCGGGGCCTGCCCCCACCTGCGTTCCCTGCATCGAGGGGCGGCAGCGCGCTGCTCCTCACTCCTCCGAGTTTCCTCCGACAGAGGCTCCGCTGCAGACGCTTCACATGGACGTGTGGGGCCCAGCCCGCGTCCGTGGACAGGGTCACGAGCGTTACTTCCTGCTGGTGGTTGACGAGTACTCGCGTTACACCGCAGTCTTCCCCTTGCGCAGCAAGGGTGAGGTCACTGAGGTGTTGATCGCCTGGATCCGCGCAGCTCGTCTCCAGCTCAGAGAGAGTTTCAGCTCGGACTTTCCTGTTCTGCGTCTGCACTCTGACAGAGGCGGAGAGTTCTCCTCTGACCTTCTGCGAGCCTTCTGTCGTGCACGAGGCATCCGCCAGACCTTCACGCTTCCGGACTCTCCGCAGCAAAATGGGATTGCTGAGCGCCGCATTGGCATGGTCATGGACGTCGCTCGTACGTCCATGGTCCATGCGGCTGCCCCCCATTTTCTGTGGCCGTTTGCGGTTCGGTACGCGGCGCATCAGATCAACCTTCAGCCCCGGGTCTCCATGCCGGAGACCTCCCCTGCTTTGCTGTGGACGGGGAAGGTTGGCGACGCGTCTGCGTTCCGTGTCTGGGGATCTCGGGCGTTTGTCCGCGACTTGTCTGCGGACAAGCTGTCCCCTCGTGCTGTTCCCTGCGTCTTCCTTGGCTTCCCCCCTGACGCGCCGGGCTGGCAGTTCTACCACCCCACCTCGCGCCGTGTTCTGTCCTCCCAGGACGTCACGTTTGACGAGTCGGTTCCCTACTACCGTCTCTTCCCCTACCGCACTGCGTCCCTCCCCCCCCCGCCGCTCTTCCTTACGCCAGGTCCCCCTCCGGTAGACCCCCTCCCCCCTCAGGGTCCTGCCCCCTCAGGTGTGTCTCAGGTAGACGCAGTCGACCCTGTCGAGGTAGCTGTTGACTCTGGTGCTGCTAGGGGTGCTGAGCCTGCGGGTGCTGGGTCTGGGGGTGCTGACTCTGGGGGTGCTGAGCCTGGGGGTGCTGACTCTGGGGATGCTGCGCCTGGGGGTGCTGAGCCTGGGGGTGCTGAGCCTGGGGGTGTTGCGTCTGGGGGTGCGGAGTCTGAGGGTACTGGACCTGCTCGTGTGGCGTCTGGCGGTGCTGGGCCTGGAGGT